TGGCAAGAACACGTTCTGTAAGTCACTAAGGCTATATTAGCTTTGTGAAGGGGTTTCCCTGGCTCGTCCTGAACAGACAATTGCTTCCCTACGTCCCAGGGCCTGTGCTCCAAACACTCTGCTCTGAGGCTTGTTAACTGTCAGACAACTCCATCTACTGTAGGACAGACTTTCTTGATGAATATACCTCCAAGAAACGCAGTGGGAAACACACTTGCTCATAACATTTTCAATTAGCAAATATAAATAACACAATAATTAACAATATAAACTGATCAAACATATGTTAACTAATGTTTCCGAAGCTAATGAAATTTTAAAAAAGAAAAAAAAAATCTTCATCTGTAATGACTCATCTCCCCTTCTCACCAACATGCCAGGGTAAAGGGCATCACCTTAACCCAGTCCTTCTGGCTACATTAATAATCAATGACCGCTTCAAATTAAAAGAATTTGAAGAAAACTGACATTAGATAATACCCTTAAAACCACACCTTCTGAATAACTGCACTTTTGTGTTCTTAGCAGTTTAGCAAGACACAGACGAATTCATTGAGTTACGAATTCAAAGTAGGTCTCAGTAATCCAGGGAAAATTTCATGATGGATTTGATGAACACTTCAGCTCTATTCCAGCACACATTTGGGCAGAATAATCTGCAAAGCATCTGGCCTTAGTTTCTATGCATCATTTTAGCCTACAGTTACATAAAGAGATAGTTTGAGAAAAAGAGGGAAATAGCAGAAGAGCAGATTTGCTGCATGCAGTAGGAGCACCACGACACAGGAGAGCGGCAGTTCAAACTCCAGAGCTCTTCAGCCTAATTCCGCCTACTCTGGATTAGGGCGAGAGCATGGAATAGCCATTAGATGGCAACAACTCCAAGTTATTTCCTGTCCCTCCCATCTCTGACCTAGTGACCTAAAATAATAAACACAAAAATAAATTCACAGTTTTATCCCAGTTCAAAACAAACAGAAATGCTGTGTCTGGTGCCAATGTTCTCCTGTAAGTGAATATAGGGTGATCAGAAGTTTCTGCCTTGAATGGAAACTGCTGTTTTTTCGAAGACAATATTGGCTAGAAGGAAACAGATCCTGAGAAAAGTGTCTCCCACAGCATTAGGGCAGTAAAAAATCTCCTCCTATGCATATCACTGAATAGAAAAAATTCCTTACAGAAAAGGAACGCATTGTTTTTTCGAAAGCGCAATTAAGCTCTATTGAGACACAATGCCTGCAACTTGTTCTAAAGACTAAGAGATTTAATCTGTCAGGCAAAATTCTCTGAACAAGGTATTATATAATATGTTGTGTAAATACTTAAAGAAATGTCTTCAGCACTGATAAACAGCAGTTATTGGCATTCAGCAATTTTATTTTGACTTTTTGAAATATTTGTACCGTAAAATACTGAGGACTAGAGTTTGGTTTAGAGGCTATTTTAGCTTCTGTTCTTTTCTGTATCTCTATATAGAACTCTAGATTTTCTATTTATTTTTTTTTTTTTACTAGATCAGTTCAATAGATAATTTAAATAATATGTATTTAATAGGACTGTCTCAACCACATAAAAGATAAAAAGAATTAAAATGTTATTTTACCTGCATTTCCTTCCTATTCCCATCATTGATTATAAAGGGGACAGCTACTAAATATTTTCTCCACCACATAGGCTTTCTACATTAGAGAATATTTGTTCTGCTTTAACAGAAGCAGTAAGCAAAACCACCCATAAAACTGCCTTCCTGCCAGTGATATCATAGTCTAACGTATCCTATATGCTGGGAAAGATGTCCTTCACAGAGATGATAGAGGACATTTACAAGAATATGTAAAATACATTTATTTTACATGCACACAGTAATAGATCCAGGGAGATAGTCAGAAAAAAATACTGTTGCAAATAAGATTAACAGAAATAAACTTTAAAAAAAAAGAGTACACCCATTTCAGGTCAACATCTGCTTTAAAACAGGACTTGAAGACCAAGGGGCTTATACTTAATGGACTACCACACAAGAAAAAAATTCTGATATTAGCAATATAGACTTTTCATTTGAGGTAATGAAGATAGTCTGATGCAAGAGTGATAGTTGACATCTGGCCACCAGAAGGATTTTATATTCTGCTGTTCTGTTGCGTATGAACAAATCTCCATGAGATTAAATTTTTCAAGTGTGTATTCAGGCATAAAATAATTTGGATAAAACAGTCTCATAGGTGAGACCTACTCACTCAGTTTCTTTCACAAGGAATCCCCTCTCTGCAGGTTTAAGATAGGTAACATACACAAATCTGTACAACATTTTTTGCTCTCCTCCCCCTTTTCAAGCATAGGCATTCCCTAAACTGGTGTTCAGGATTCATGCAAATATCAAACTAGAAAAGCATGTACTATCAGCCATTGCTGTTTTCCTCTGTGCTTCTCCAGCAAGACAGACTAAGGCTTTCTAGGCAGCAGGATAAAGACTTTGGAATAGTGATACAAAGTGACAATGTTTATTTGTCACCTGTCTCTAGAAAGAAAGCAGAGAGCAAGAAGGGTGGTTATAAGACAGATGCAAACAGATACTGAGTGAAGAATGCATTTTTTAAATAAAAAGAGGAATAGTAGACAGCACTAGACATGACAGAGAAACAAGACAAACTTGGTGGCCCACCTTCATTTTTGCTTTATGTCAACTCTATTTAACACACATTTAACTGAATTAGTGGTAGAATAGCTATCAAGTAGACAGGGTTAACTTCTCCTGACAGTTAGGAACAGAAAATACTAAGGAGAAGAGATGGAATGCACTGAAATATCCAGTTAGCAGATGACATAGCCATTTACCACAAAAACATACAAGCACGAATATGGTTGACAAGGCAGAAAAAGGAAGACCAAAGAACGCTTTAAATGCATGTAAGATGACTTTACGCGTGCTATTCTTGGAATAATTTAGGATAACTTTCACAAAGGGGAATTCTGGATTCCAAATATTTGTTGTGCTGAAATTAAAACCAAGAGACTAGTCTACATTTTACAACGTCACACAAGTACAGATCTTATGTGAAGCAAACCGGAAGTTAATTACAGGGAGCTCAGCAAGATGCACACGGCCTACACAGATCCCATTCATGACCACAATACAATCAAAACAAGTTCTAGATCATTACTTTCAGTCTGTTGCATACTTTGAACACTTCCAAGTCCAATACTAATTTTGAGATGGTGCCTTCAGGTCCAAATCAGTGGCAGATTCTAGTACAACAAGGATCGAGTACATACAGCTAAAATAGTTTCTCAAAGACTTAAAGGTAAAATGTGCATCATCTCTCCAGGAATTCTCTCTTTTTTTTTTTTAAAAGAAAAAGGACTCGCCATAAGAAAGAATGGATATTTTGAAATCAACGTGCTGAAGACGGCGTTAGCTTTTTTCCAGATACCAAGTATTCAAACAGTTGTCTGACCACTCTACAGCTTGCAAGACACCATTTCTCCACAACAGATCTCAGGTCTTAAAACTTGAGAGATTATTTTAAGCTACCCAAACCACTAGATCTATTGATGTATTTTCACAGACACCACACTGGTCTTAAGAGCTAAAACGCTAAGTGAACGTGCACTTCTTATTAAAAGTCAGACACCATCCCATTGCTTTGAAAGCAACTGCCAAGTCTAACCGCATTATGAGAAAAACAATATTGAAATTGTAGTCAAATCCATTATATGTTTTAGCATGTGCTAGAACAAACAATGCTAGACCTGTGTTTTTATGGGTAGTCTTTCTCTCCCAATAAGGCCTTCCAAACTTCAGGAGAAGTCACAAACTACTACTAGAAAAAAGATTGTTGGCTTTACAATCTTACAGCTACGTCAAGGGGACAGAGTTGAAGGCTTTGTTGGGGCAGTAATGCATAGGCAGAGAAGTGGCAAAGGACCACAAAAGGAAAGGGGTAAAGAACGTCTTATTAGAACATGGGGCTTTTTTCTTGCAGATTATGTGTAAAAGTGACTGAAGAAGGTTCCTAAGAAAAAAATTGGTTGTCAACAATCAATTGATTGATCTTGTTACACAGAAGTCCACATCTTCCTGGAAAATTTTTGTGATGCACAGAATTGGAAAGGTCAAAACCCACTACACCAGAACAAGCCACAGGACGTTTCTCTTGTATGATGTTTGCTCAGATCACAAAATAAGAGAAACAAGTGACTACAGGGCTTCTCTAGTAGAAGAATCCAATTCCAACTAGGTGACAATATGCAGAACAATAACTAGAAAAATCCCAGTTTCCAAGCAACCCCCTCTGTGCGTAAGGAAAAAGGATTGGAAATATTTTAGAAAAAGATTCAGTACTTCATCTGTCAAATACAGAAATAGGCCTTTCAGGTTTAATATATAAGTTTGTACAAATCCAAACTTTCAGCATTGTTCCAGACTATCAATAGTCTTATTCTGGACTATTTACAGAGACAACCACTCTTTCTTGTCATTAGGTTTTGTGATTCCTGTACAGCATCCATAGAGACACACCACAGAAACCACACCCTCTGCAAACTGCCATAGAAAAGCATATAAGCTCAGATTTTGGTGCAATTGTTAACCTTTGAGAGACGCCATAGTAAGCAATTAGTCATGCTACTACAAAAATTCTTCAGGTACAGATGCTTTGTAAAATTCTAGACATTCTGACATATAGTGTTAGCTTTTTGTCTTCAGCAAGGTTTGAAACACACGACACCTAAGATTTTACAGACATCTTCCCCCTGCAACACACCCGTAACCCCCTGCAGGGGAAAGTGTTCCTCACTGGTTAAAATGTACCCTAGAAGAAAAGAATTTCTTTCATAATTACAGGCTTATTTCACTATATTGCATACATACAAACATCATTAGAGAACAGTGTTTCAAACAGCGTTATTTGTGCCGTGCCAATAGCACTTTAGCTATAGTCTATACGGCAAAAGAGAACTTGGGGAAAAGGAATAGAAGTGGAAGAGACTGCTTTACTTACCTTGATGAGTCATAGTGACAGGTTCTTCACTGGATATATTATTGTAAATGACCACAGCTGTGGCATTATGTGAAGCTGCTCGCAGTATTTTCTCTCTAAACGTACAGTTTCCTCGCTGTAGCAAAGCGATCCACTGCTTGGTGTTCGGTGGAACTTGGAAACGTGTTCGAGGGTCACAGCCCAGGCGATCTGCAACTGAAAACGGAGATATATTTACACAAACTGCAATGTGTTCAGATAGACAAAAGAGAAAAAATTCCAAGGTTTGCTCAATTATTTAACTGGTGTGCACTAGGAAGCTACCTAGCTCTCTGGTTAATAAAGACTAAAGGTAACTGCATTCGTAAGAAAGTCTTCTTTAAAAAACAGCCTCACACATTTAAAGCCATGAATATATGGCCAAGAATTAGGCTCACCAGCATAAGCTATTTTTAACTCTAGAGCAGCTAGAACAGTGAATTAACATTTGAATCAATACCTGCCTACAGGCTGAAAAACATTCAAATATGGTTCATATGCTATAGGCGTTTAACAAACAGCTGTTTTATCAGTCATTCTGGGTAGCAGAACATTTTTTCTTTCTAATGCAGTCATAAAGATCACTGCAGTGGGAAGTACAGCTAAACAAAGGAGGTGGGAAAAACAAGATTTCAGAGCAGCTATTTGCCACGTGCAGACTACTGTAAAAAGAAGGGACGATATTCAAAGCTGATCTTGTGAAATCTCAGCAGCCAACATCAGCTTTTTACATATGCACCTTTTGTCTACAAGAAAGTGCATTCAAATTCATAGAGAAACAAACCACTTTGAAAATATGATGCACTCATGTTACTAATACTGCAAAAGAAAAAAATAATCACAGAAATGGCAAGCGCCAAACATCTAGTTTTAACATCTGCAAAGCTGGCTTGTCGTTTTTGATGCTGTAATATATGCTGGAACAACCCAAAAGCCACACAGAAGTACATACAAAAGGCACACAAGCAACGTGGAAGACGTCTTCACGTTACAATAAATAGCTTAAACTGATGAAAGATACTTATGTTCAAACACCTGGAAACTTGCAGTCTAGTCAAACACATTGAAGGCTGTATCACTGAAGGATTTCAGAAATTTAGAGCCAATTGTAACTGACAGTACAAATACATGCAACCTTTCAAATGCCAGAAGTATAAGCAGCATTGGATACTAAAAATGGTTGGGATAAAAAAGTGATTTTTAAGACACGTAATTTCTTTGAATAATAGCTCTGAAAGCCATTCAAAGTTTAAAAGAGTGATTCTGATGAAGCATCCCATTAAATTTTCCCGTTAAAGTGGGTTTTTCAGCACAGACTATGGGATTTCAGCAAGAAGTCTGCCACAAAAGTATCCAGTCTAGCTTATTAGCTGGAAGCAAAGCAAGAGATCTTTTTAAAGCATTCTCAGCTTAGCACAGCTCAGGGTAAATTCTATGACAAAGGAAATTCAAATAGCGAAAGGATCTTTTCTGAAACAAGAAAGAAAATCTCTTGTTCACTCCCCAGAAAATTTGTGTGAACAAATCTACTCCCTAACAATCTTACAGGAAATCATTTCTTCTCTTAGTTTGAACGAGAAACCCCTCTCCCATCCCACTGGAAGAAGGGCAAGTAGTCCAGATGCAAGCAAGAATGTTTCACAGTTGTTTTGCAAGGCTGTATTAAGGTGTTTCAGACATGAACTATTTGCTGTATTTTTATATTTGAACATTTCATTCAGCGTTCAGGGAAAATCTGACATATTCTTAAAGTAGAATTTTATAGAGTATTTTCTTCCATTACACTGGCATTACTTCTATGCCTATGGAAATGGCTAACTAGCAGTGATCCACACAGAAGTATTTCTGGAGCATTAGTGATGGCCACCCAGAATAGCAATGATCATAGGAGTACACCTTCACTTCAACTGCACTTTTGTAGCTTTTCATTCTAGCTTTAAGTTTAATAACAGAACGGCACTTTTTTTTTTTTTTTAAAAGAGGAATTGTGGTTCTTTTTGCAAAGCCATCACGTGGCACATGCGCAAACAGCCAACCTTGACAGACTCTACTAGGATAAAAGCAGTTTGTTTTTTAATGCGCACTTCCCCCTTGTTCAGAACATCTCCATTTAAAAGTGAGGGACAGGTAGAGACACCTGTAGGCTACAGCAAGAAGTTTATCAAGCCTTGAAAGTTAAAATCATATCCTTCTCCAGTAAAGTCAAATTTGAGAATTTCAAGTGTAAAACACACCCTTGAAAACTACCATTCAATAAGTGGGCAAACTGCTACAATTAATTCAGAAAAGAAACACTGCGGTCAACATCAAATTTACCAAAATACATATATAAGGGCTGGAAGAACAACAAACCTAAGGATTGTGTATTGTTCGTTTCAGTGCAGTCATGTTCAAAGCTAAAATACTGAGTGGAGGAAAAATGGCAACAAAATAATGGGTTTTTAATTAGAATGGAAAAATCAAAAAGGCAAAAAAAGATAAAGGACGTCCTGAAAAGGAAGGTAGCATTCTGGAAAAGGGGTTATATAATCCAGTCTTACAAGAAGTTATGTAGATATCTTTACATTTGTATAATTTGAAATTTTATATATACACTGACAGGGCAAGTAGTAAGAGATAAAATACAGCGTCTCCAGGAAAAGTAGCACAAATTTTTCCACTACAGTAGAGAACAAAGTCTCTTGTAGCTGTGGACAGAGCTACAAAACGTTACTGGGTAGATCAACAAAACTGGAAATGACATTAAGAGATGCAAACTTTCCAGGTATAGGCTAACAGACACTACTAACACGCATTCAGCATATTATTCCTGATTAGCTGATTCCGTATGTCCTGATGAAGATTTGTTCAACATCTTCCAATATTATTTTAGCATTATTTAACTAATATAAAACCATTAAGGAAAAACTGGTAGTTTTAAATAAACGTGAACAGAGTGACTGCAAGTCATCCCGGATTTAATCTCAAATCAAAACTCCCTTCAGTATCCTATTTACACCACACAAACGCTAAAGGATCCTTTCGCTTTTAACACAGGAAAAATTCAGACACAAGAGTAGAAAGTCTGGGTTTGCCTGTTTTTTAATGGGCTGAATACACTCCAGAACAAGTGAAACTCTTATAATTGTGCTCACTCCTCTAGCACAGTGAGTTGGCTAAAAACATCTATTATATACCTAAAGAGACAGACATATAAATTGGCATTGTAAGGGAAATCAATAAATGAACAATGTCAGCAAGAACCATCATCAATAACTCTCCATTACCACGTCATCAATGCTCCGTTGTCCAAAATCCACTTAAGATCTAAAAGACTAGGACTTATAAGTATTACCTGGATGACATCCATGTCAGAATGAAAAGCAACTTCACATTAATTTAAAATTATTCTAATACAAATCACTTGTACAGAGAAAGATATGATCAGAAGTCACTTATGTCATTTCGTAATTGCAGAAGATATCAGCATTCAGAAAGCTATCTGAGTATGTTTTCCTACAGGTGTGTTACTGCTCACGCTAATTTGAAGTGCAGGTTATATACTCCATCTTTCCTTTCTCCATGTCTACTTGTGTACCATAGACATGTCGGCAAAATAAAATTTTTATGCTCACAGATAAAGTGTCAGGTTTGCAAATTATCATTCCTTCAAATTTAAAAGGATTACAGTCTTCAGTGATATCATTTATCCTTTTCTATTTGACTGAGTTGCTTTTGGTGACTTTCTTACAGCCAAAACATAGACTAAAATAATTTGCTACACTCTTTTCTAGATACGTTCACATTTTTCACAAGGCAACAGAAGAATACTCAGACACAAATGTATGCACGTTTTATGCTGCAGGGTAGTCTTTGTTCTCGGGAACACGTGGCAGAATCCATGTCAGAGATGAAAGCTAACGTAAGCAGAGGGAACACTCACTTTTTTCATAGGTGTTCTAATCTCACAAAAACAAGCATTACCCATTACTAGTTTTATTACAGTAACCAGAAAGGCCTTACCCATTATCAGTCAATCAAAAAAAGAATTCTGAATAAAACTTCATAAAGTTACAGGCCCTTTAAAAAAAGTTAGTCTCACTTATTGTAGTTTCTACTCTTACATGAAAATCTAAGGTTTTCCTAAAATATGGTAATAATTCAAGTGTTACAGGTATATGGAGTCTCAGACTCAATTATAGCCAAGCTGCTGTGAACCCTATCCCCCTCCCCCCCAAAACCTGCCACAAACATGCAGAGAACTAGAACATTTTATCACAGATAAAAAAAAAAAAAAAAGAGAACAGCTCAGTTTGTTTTCCGCTCATCCCAAGTGAGAGAATAAAAAACTGAAAAGCAGCTCTGCTAGCAGTTTACGTTTCGATTTTATTTAGGTGGAATGGCAAGCTTACGTACTGGAGGGAACACCTATATCTTTTTAAAATGCCCTGTTTCATTTTAGGGAAAAAAAAAAAAAGTGTTTCCAGGTCGTCAGGGCTGTCTCCCTATTAAACCATATGACTGCTGAAATGGGCTACTACAGGAAGTGAGGTAAATTACTTCCTCCAGAAGAGTTGCTTCTGATTTCACAATAAACCTCCTCCTCTTTCACCTTCCATACCAAATTGCATAGAAACTGATCCGGAAGCAAGTCAGTAAGATTCTGAGCATCAGATAATACAAAAAACCAGCAAGGTTCGATATTTTAGTTTGAACACCAGATCTATGTCTGTTAGAAGAACCTTACTAGTAGTAGTCTGCAGGGCTACAGATCAGCATTTTAACTCTGTATATAATTTGTTTTAAAGGATACCTGCCTTCCTATTGTGAGCTCTTACAACATAGAGCAGCCTCTTGTCAGAAGAGGGAACAGCTGTGATTTAAGCATCTGCAAGTTATGTTGCATGCTCGCTTTCAGCTTCAGGAGAGCTTCAATTTCCTCTCGCAGAACACACACGAGGGTTCAGCCTGCCCATAATCGTTTGTCCTTAAGCATCTTTTACATTCAAGAATGTGCAATTCCTG